ATGTAATGTTCATAGTCTACTTAGTCAGAGGAGGTAGTCGACCCAACCTGACAGAAGGATCCTTGTCGGCAGCCATGAGTTGCTTCATCCAAGGGGACCTTGTAGACCTGGGGTGAATATTTGTTTAAGGGGACATATTTGAATCCACCTTAGCTGATAGAGGGCTTTGTGCCCTATTGATTATATCCTATTGATTCATATCTCAAGAATTTGATGCCACTAAGGAACGTATTGGCTCTGGCCATAACTGGTATTTCGTGGTGCCATTTGGCGACAAAACCACTCGGTTCAGAGGGCCCTAGGTCATAACCGTTTATCCTGCGGTGCCATTTGGCTGCAAAACTGCCGGTTAAAGGACGCGTACCACCTCCTTAATGGCAGGAGACTGTTTGAGAATGGATCATAGTGATATTTTCGACTAGGTATTAGCTCTTTGTGAGCTGAAGTAGTTTTTAATTTGTCCACCTCGGCAAATTGTTGCGGAGGGTGGATGGATTTTGCTTTAAGTGATTGATATTGAAATTTAAAAAATTTTAAATATCTTTGGATTTTTGAATTTCTTGGAGTTTTGGGCTTGCATGGGTATTTGGATGGAATTTGAAATATTTTGAGTTAACCCCTCCGGTTGAGATTTACATTCAACACGGCTATCATCGGGGGTGTTTGGGGGGTATCTCCATTTGATTAAACCTTATCGACCTTATCAATTTGCCGATAGGGGATCGAGTTTCGTAGGATTCGTGTCTTTATTAGTGAATTTTCATTGTTATAGGCCTTGAAGGTCTAATATGAATGTATTAAAACAAATACACCGGTCGTCACAACTGTGTATAAGTTTAAATGTTCGAACTCTGTCGACTCCTATTGATCCGTATAGAAGGATCAGGTTCGAACTTGAATTCACTTATTGACCCGCACAGCATCCCTAGACATCACGTGTGTACCAATAACACTCTCGCTGGGGCCCTTGCGGGTGTTTGGGGGCATTTTATAATTATTGATTAAACCTTGTCGACTCCTATTTACTTGCTTAGGAGGATCGGGTTCAAATTTATTGACCCGCGCAGCATCCCTAGACGTCACGTGTGTACCAATAACACGCTCGTCGGGGCCGTTGCGGGTTCTTGATTACTTTACCCTTTTAGTGTATCTATGTGCATACAAACCTAATGCATGTACGGGGGATTTATTTCAGACTTTGTTGATGTTGATCAATTCTACGGGTAACTATCATCTGAATGCAGCATTTCATTTAGGAGTTCGTAGACGCCTTCTGTATGCTTGTAGGGATGTTGCAGATCCGGTGGCGTGGAGTAGCAGCTTGTGAATTGAGTTGTTTGATGCTTTGCACAGGTAGATTGTCGTGCATTACTTGCATGATTTGTGCATGTAGATTATAGTGCACTAACTAATCTTCTACTTTTTGCTTGTTGATGCTCTTGTGTTTGCCGAAAACCTTATATATTTGCTTGTATATGACACTTTGCATACATGAGAGGCTTCCTACGACAGGTTGTAGGAATTTGGATTTGTCGTAGCCCTATATCTTTGCTCGCAGAGAACATGTGTACTTGTATCAACAGAGGATTTACTACACTTACTACATAATCGCTAGTATTATCCACAAATAATTTCGTCGATCATCATAGCTCCCAAGGAATAGTTGTGTTGTCTGCAAGTGAGCCGACCTCAATTAAGGTTGTGATATCACTACAATTGAGTCTTTGTCATATTTTTCATTTGAATTCAAGTTGGGTCTTCTCCTTGCATTGTGACCTACTTAAACTCAAGTTATTAATGTTCAAATTTGATTTAAATTTTGATTATTTATCCAAACTTGGGTTTAGTTCATTTTGAGATTGAAATCAAGTCCCCTTGTCATTCGAGTTCAAATCTTATTAATGTTCAAGTCAAGTTCGTGTCCACAAGTCCCCTGCTTGAGTTCAAGTTCAAATGCATGTCCCCTGTTGTCCTTTGAGTTCATTCGAGATCAAATATCAGTTCCATGAGTTCAATCAAGTAGAGTTTAGGTGATTGCCCGCCTCGTCGTAGGCGTCGGACTAGGGTCCCATCCCATCACGCGCAATAAAGGGGTGTATAGGCAGTTTTCCGGTCCGCCGCATACAACGAAAGCGAGAATCTCAATTTAGGAAAATTCGTACCTTCGCGGGGTTATTGGTGTTGGCATGTGGATCGAGGGAGAGAGAGATATAACACTTGCATTTTCTCTTTTCTTTTAAATCAATTATAATTAAATTAAATAATTAAAATTAATTATGTTTAAAAATAGTTAATTGTAATTAATTATAATAAGATTTGATTAACTATAATTAATGTACGATTAATTTATAATTAATCATAATTAAACTTAATTAATTATGATTAATATATATTAATTATAATTTAACATAATTGATCATCATTAAATCTAATTAAATATATCTAATTTATAATTAATTATAATTATATATAATTAAAAATAATTCATTATAATCAAATTAAATTAATTAAAATTAATTCAAATAAATTTATACATAAATTGAATAGTACTTAGGCTTGACATGAGCCGAATTTGAGTAGTATTCATGTTAAATCTTATTAACAGGATTTATGCAAAATCTGAGTAAGATTTATGGTAAATCTTGTTAAGAAAAATTATCTGAATACCGGATTCATACAAGCATTGAACAGGATTTAAGCTATATCTCATTTGAACGAGATTTAGTTAATCTTGCTTAAATCCTCTATATCCCCTTTCGGCCCCCTCTAATTTACGGGATTTGGTCGAGGAAGCGCAGGAAAGGGAGTAGTTACCTTCTCATACAGAGAGCTCCCTGTGTTGCTCCCGAGTCCCGATCAAGTGTTATAACTTCCGATCCTACAAAAGGAATGTCGTCGGATGAGCGAAGTTTGTTAAAAGAGAAGGAGGTAGGTCGGTCCTCCTCTCTCTCTCTCTCTCTCTCTCTCTCTCTCTCTCTCTCTCTCGGTTGGAGGTCGGGCAAGGCCAGAGGTTTGCGGCTGGTTGGGTTCAGTCTGAGAGGATAATAGCGACTATAGGTGGAGATCGGGATGGAGGCTTTGTCGCCGGAGTTTGGCCAGAAGAGACAGAGGGATTTCGGCTTTGAATAGTTCGGACGGAAGCCAGATCTGGGAGGAGTTCTGGCATCGGAGAGATCAAGGTCAGTCTTTCTCTCTCCCTCTCTCTCTCTTTCTCTCTGTGGATTGAAAGAAGAAGGCCTTGACGGGAGCGCAGAGGTGTTAGGATCGGGAGAGCAGAAGGGCCTTGCTTGTGTGAGGGAGAGAGCAGCCGAAGGCTCCCTTTGAGTCGGTATTTAACGACGCGGGAAAGGACCTCCTCGAGCGGGGTTTGAGCATGAATCGCGGAGCAGCGACGCAACGGCGCCGAGCTACAGGAATTCAGCGGAATTTCCGGCAATATTCGTGGATCCGCCGGGTATGATTTTGATTTTGATTTTTTTTTTTTTTTTTTTTTTTTTTCTTTTGGTTTTTTTTTGGGGGATTTTTTTTTTTTGTTCCTTTGGGTATATCTATGGAGGTCAACAAATTATACCATGTAAGAGGATCTTGAGGGAGCCCACAATCTCTATTTGTCATTATATTATTTTTTACTATTGATGCACTACTTTCCTCACCATTATTCTTATTTTTTTCGACGCGTCTATCTTAACATTCTCTTTTATTTTCATACTCAATTATGTTGTCAATATTAATTTTAATTCCTAACATTAAGATCCATATTATATTGTTAGGCTAATTATAATTTTATGACATTTTACCAAAAACTTTTCATAATTTCCTCTTGCATGCTGCCAAGAATATGCATATTGTGATGCTGTGTCATTAAGAAACTTGTAGAGAAGTTCAAAACGTCAATCCTAAATTGAAGGAACGAGGATCGGTACAAGGCCCCAGTCTTCAAAAAGTTTCAAATAATACTTAGTTTTGCAAACTTATATCTTGATGCCAGGATATATCTGTTGAGAATTTTCCCTGCAACTAAATCTGCCTCACTGCCATGAACTATTATTTCTCTACCTCACAGATATCTGCTGGTCCAGAAGCCCGTCAAGTAACAGGTCCTGCAAATCCAGCACAGATAAAAAACTTCGCTCTATGTCAACATCTCCAAGAAATCCATACTCGCATCTCCAGTATAACTGCTGCCCTCCCAACTGTTGCTGCTGATGTTCTCTCCCCATCGCTCGGTGTCATCTATGGAGTTGCTTGTGATTCAGTGACTTCCCTCTTTCAATCCATGCTTGACCGCCTCGAGTCCTGCATCCTTCAAATCCATGACCAGGACTTTGGATCCCATGGCATGGATGCATCAATGGACAACAATGCTTCTTCCTACATGGACGAGCTTCAAAAGTGCACTGTTCACTTCAGAAATGAGTTCCTATCGAAGCTTCTACCGGCTTCTGCAACCCGGTTCGAGACAATATGCACAAGTCTTGTCCACAGAATGGCTTCTCGCGTTCTGTTATCTTTTATAAGACATGCTGCTTTGATTAGGCCTCTATCTGAATCAGGCAAGCTTAGGATGGCAAGAGATATGGCCGAGCTTGAGTTGGCAGTTGGCCAAAACCTGTTTCCAGTAGAGCAACTGGGAGCTCCTTATCGAGCCCTTAGAGCCTTTCGTCCCATGATCTTCTTGGAGACTTCTCAGCTTCAGGGCTCGCCATTGCTTAATGATCTGCCACCAAGTGTCATACTCCACCACCTGTATTCTCGAGGACCCGAAGATTTACAGTCACCCATGCAGAGAAACAAGCTCACTCCTCTTCAATATTCTTTGTGGCTTGATTCACAAGGAGAGGATCAGGTATGGAAGGGCATTAAAGCAACTTTAGATGATTATGAAATAAAGGTTAGGAGTAGAGGAGAGAAGGAATTTAGTCCTGTTTATCCTCTCATGCTGCAAATTGGATCATCTATTTCAATGGGCAATTCTTCTCAATAGTGATTTTTTTGCTTTTTTTCTTAGTGTAGATAAACTTCATGATTTTGGATAAGGTTTATAGCTATATGTTCCATTGATAGAAATAGTCTTCCCTGGACATTTATTCCCTATAAAGTTTAAATGGATAGTGTCAATTATTTCAGAGAAACTTGCACACCAAATTTAGATGGTTTTTGCTGTTGTTTGTTTGCTTTATACTTTTTGTTGGTTCTCTTGTCTTCTTCATTATTTGTTTTCTATCATGGCCATGGAGTTTTGCATAGCCTCTGAAGAAGTCACAACTTGTAAATGGAAGTGTTAACAGTTTAGTATTTTGTTACATTAGATGGTTAACCTGACACAATTCTTCTTTCCTAGATTTGTAATTTGAATCAATAGTAATTGTTGGGTCCAATGTTATTAGGAGAAAATATCAAGATTACTACATATGCAAGATTGAACCTAAGGGAGTAGAGAAGAAGAGAGGCTATGTTTTAGATATTCTCTTACATAGGTTAGAGTTTATGGTGTGTTCAATCGACTACTTAGGCATTTAGTAGAGAGAATTTAAGGAGATTTTTAGTGGGATAGAGTTTTTGCAAGAAATATATGATAATGACTTCGTTTGAGACAGTTTTATTACTACTTTCTAAAATAGTTTTTAGTACAAATTTTTTGTGTGCTAAAAAGTTATTTTAGAAAACAGTCCCAATGTCTGACTAGCGGACCTTTTTTTATAGGTGAGGGTCAAGATTGAATATAAGACGTAAACAATAAAATTACAACAATAGAATATAAATAGATTTGAGGAGTTAGTTAATGTATTCATTGAGCCTAGTTGTTAATAGTCCACTAGGCTTGGAACTTTGGTGGAGTTTTAGATTGAGAAATGCTTTTGACTAAGTTCTTTTGGGGAGGTAGAAGATGGGATACATGATAAAATTTCAGGTATATAAATAGATTATATGCAACTAGTTATTTATTACTTGTCCATTAGGATGAAACTTTGGGCGAGTTTTGGATTAAGGGGGAGTAACTTTGATGAGAACTCCTAATCATTAGGCGAGTTCGAAAAACGTGTAATCAAGTTCTATTGATGAATGGGTTTGTGGAGTAGATGAACTTGGCATTGAATTTGTCTTTTAAGATAAAAAAGTTGTCGAAAATCCAGTCTCAAATTGAGCTTGAATTGAAATTAATGAGTTGGGTTAGTTTGAGCCTAATTTAGACTAAGATCAGATTAAAATAGAATGATTTTGGGCTAATCTTGAGCTAATATCAGATCATTTTGAAATCAAATTGTTCTAAATTCCATCAAACATTTTTTGTTTCTCTTGCTCAATGTGAGCTGTTTGGTTGCTTCTTCTGGCCATCATGAATTATCGTTAATCTTTCCCAATTATTTGGATTCAGCTATCAATTTATCAATCAACTTAGGCTTCGTTTGGAACAACTTCTTTGCTGCTTTCTAAAACGGTTCTTTAATACAAAAATTTTTTGAATTAGAATTTTTTGTACTAAAAAACAGTTTTATCATAGGCTACCTGATGTAGCTCTATGTCAGGTGGGAGGACGCAATAATTTTTCCAAACGAAGCCTTAGTTTTTATGATCTCTAAGAAATATTCGCATCTTTTTTTCTCCCTTTAGTCAAGTGACTATCAATGAAAAACAAGAGAAAAGTAGGAGAAATTTGATTTTTATGACTCATAATATATGTAATTGATTAAATATCAACACTTTTTATTTTTTTGAGCCAATTACCTGAAATTTTTATTTGGTCAAAACATCTCTATCATATAAAAGTATAAATCGGAAACCTGAGCTGAAGAAACCTAGTTTGAAAATTGCTTGAACAATGCTCTAACATGGTTTGAATCATACCCTTTCGTTTTGTTCTTTTTATCTTTTATGAAATTGATTCGTTTGAGTTGATTTGTTATATATGTAAGAGGCATTGCAGTGTTGTGATACATATAAAGTTTGGTTTTGATTGATAAAATTGTTAAATAGTTTGATACTTTTGATTTTTTTAGAAGGGCTAATGAAGGAAAAGAAGAAAAACTTCAGCTTCCTTTTGAGATTGACTTTTTTATTGTTTCTTAAAGCAGTTTTTTAGTAAAAAATTAAATTTTTTATAATTTTTTAGCCATATGCTCATTTTATTAAGGAGATATTCTCATTTACATGTTGAAGTTGAATTTGTTCTAGTAGAGAGCAATTACAGAACATTCAGTTTGATTGTGAATTTGCTCATAGGAAAATATTGCTTCACATATCAATTTAAAATTGGAGTAATCAATTCTTGCAATTCATTGCATTTTATCAGAATATTTTCAAGGAGAAAAAGTTTTATTATTTAATAAACAATAATGCTTTTCAAAAAGTTTTAAAACTATATTTTAATTTTAAATTTGGTTCCAAATTCCTTGGTGAATCAGCTAAATTCAATAATTTTGTCCTATATGATATTTAGCTTGATAACATTCAACATTTAACTAGTTGCTAGAATGTATGTAAAAACAGAGCATATATGATGATGATGATGATGATAACAAAATGCAAATGGTAATACCAAAGATAATTGCATAAAAAGATAATATTGTTGAATGATGGATATCAATGCATAATAATAATGTTACTGACATCACATACTATGAAAAGAATAAGCAAGTCAGCAAATGTTTTGATTGTGAGCTTCATTATATGGTAAGCCTAGTCATGATTTCCATGAAGGAAACTCATCAGCAAGTCTTCTCTCAAATGCCCGAAAGATCTCTCTAATAGCCTTCTTCACTTCACTGTCAGCAAACACAAATTCAATAGCATTTGCACCTAGCTGAAGCATGTCTTTTTTGTCAAGCCCTGATAACTCAAAGACAAATAGAAAAGCAGTAAGAGCAACATATAAGCTGTTCATAGATATGAATCTACGAAGAAAGAAGCCTACCGAAGGTCTCAGCAGCAAGGTAATACTCATTGGAAAGACTAGTGGAGAACAGGCCTGTATCATCAGTACATAAGACCAGTGGATGGTTGGCATTGTAAAGATTAGCTGAGAAAATTAGAAAGAAAAAGATAAATTAGTATGTAAAATCATAGCTTTCTTATCATTAGTGTCACCACTTATTATCACCACTCTAAGTGCTTTTAGTTGTTATGATATGTCTTTTCTATTAAGGTTTCGTTTGGGACGATTTTCTTGTTGTTTCTTAAAGCAGCTTTCTAGTATAAAATTTTAAATTTTTGTAATAAAAAGTTGCTTTAAGAAGTAACAAAGAAGTTGTCCCAAACGAAGCTTAAGTTCCACATCAAATGTCTACTTGTATCCAAATTTTGGGTTTACGGAGATTGACATGGCATTCACAAGTTCAACATTATTAGTAGTTAGTTGACATTTAATCAGCACTGTGAGTCATGAAAATAAGACAGCAATAATGTTGCATATATTAATCGTTCTCCACACCTTACTTTGGCGGGAACTTCATGTACTGTGTTCAAAACCTTAATAAGCAGATGTTATTGTGGTTCTTCGGTCTACAACAACAACAAATATTTATCTCATTGTGGGGTCGGTTACATCAATCTTTTTTCTCTATTGTATTTTATTAAGAGTCAAATTATCATCTAAATCTGATAAAGAAATGTCATTTCTATTGTGTCCTATTAACAATTAAATTCAATTCTAAATCTAATAAAGAAAAGTTATTTCTAATATTTTCTAACCAAGTCTTTTTAGGTCTTCCTCTATCTTTCTTAACACAAGTCAAATCTAATGCATCTACTTTCATAAATGGATTATCGGAAGGACGCCGTTTTATGTGACTAGACCATCTAAGGCAACTCTCTCTAATCTTATCTTCCACTGAAGCTACTCCAACCTTTTCACGTATATGCTCATTTTGTATCGTGTCTCTAAGAGTAAGGACACTCATTCGCCTGAGCATCCTCATCTATGCAACACTTAACTTAATATTATGCTTCTCTTTTAATGACTAACATTCTGCACCATAAAGCATTGCAGGTCTCACTACCATCTCATAGAATTTTTCCTTAAGTTTTCAGAGGGGCTTTTCTAACACATAACAAGCCCAATGCATTCCTCTACTTCAACTATCCAACTTGAATTCTATTAATAATATCCCTATCTATTTCACCATCACTCTAAACAATAGACCCAAGATATCTAAAATGTGTGCTCTTATTAATGACTTGATCGCCCAAAGTCACATTCCCCGCTCTAGATCTATTATTACTAAAATTACACTCCATATATTCAATTTTAAATATAATCAAATGAAAGCCTTTAGACTTTAAGGTTGACCTCCATAATACAAGTTTACCTTCAACTCCCTCTCTAGTCTTATCAACAAGAATAATATTATAGGCAAAAAGCATACACCATGGCACAACCTCTTGCAAATGTCTAGTGAGATCATCCATGACTAAAGCAAAAACATATGGGCTTAAGGTTGATCCTTGATGTAATCCAATTGAAATAGGAAAATACTTGGTCAAACCACCTTGTGTTTGAACACAAGTAACAACTCATTTATATATATCCTTAATGACTTGAATATAAACATTATTAACCCATTTCTTATGTAGAACTCTCTATAACACTTCTCTTGAAACTTTATCATAAGATTTCTCTAAATCAATAAAAATCATGTGTAGATCCTCCTTATTCTCTCTATACTTCTCCATCAAACCTCTCAATAAATATATAGCTTCCATAGTAGACCTACCTGGCATAAATCCAAATTGATTTTGAGAAACATTAGTGCCACGCCACAATCAATGCTCCATAACTCTCTCCCATAGTTTTAAAGTATGACACATTAACTTAATTCCTCTATAATTTGAACAATCTTGTGCAACACCTTAATTCTTAAAAATAGGAATCAACACACTCATTTCCCACTCATATGGCATCTTTTTAGTCTTTAAAATAATATTAAAAAGTTTAGTAAGCCAAGAAATTCCTTCATCTCCTAAGTAGTTTCACACATCTATTAGTTATCATCAGGTCCAACAACTTTTTCACACTTCATTTTCTTTAAAACCTCATTAACTTCAGTTTTACTAATACGCCGATAAAAACAAAAATATTTATTTTCATTTAAGGTACTAAGGTCACTAAATTCAATCGCATTCTCATAGTCTTCATTAAAAAGTTTAGCAAAATATCTCATCCACCTTTGTTAGAATATCCTCTTCTAATAAAAAATATTTTTTATTTTCATCCTTAATACACTTCAGTTGAACTAAATCCTTACTAATCTTATATCTTTGTTTAGCTAACTTATACATATATCTTTCACACTCCTTAGTATTTAATCTATTATATAAATCATTAAAAGCTAAAATTTTTATATCACATATTGCTTTCTTAGACTCCGTATGAGCCTCTTTATTACATTTGCAATTATCAAAATTTTTATTGCTAAACCAATTTTTATAACAAATTTTATTTATTTTTATTTTTTTCTTACATATTTTGATTCCACCTCCAATTATTTTTACTATTAGTAGCTTTTCTCTTTGATGCTATAAATACATCTTTTGCAACATTCTTAAATCATTAATTATTTTTTCCCACATAACATTATGTTCCTTGTGCAAAAACAAATCTTAAGATCTAGAATCTTAATCTCAAAAATTATTTTGTTAATATTCTTTAAATGTCCCCATCTAATCCTAAAACAACGATTTACTTTATTTTTTATTTTTTGTCACTTCATCTTAAAGTACAAAACTAATAAGCGATATTAGGTACATAAACTTTCACTCGAATGACTTTACAATCTTTGCAATCTAAATAATATATTTTTCTTATAAGAAAATAATTAATCTGAATTTTATGTTATCCATTCTTATAATGATGATATACTCATGTCTTTTCTTGAATAATATATTAACAATTACAAAATCATAAGCTAAAAAAAAATCTAATATGATCTCATCACCTTCATTAGTCGTTCCAAAATCATAGCCATCATAAATGCTTTTAAAACCATCTACCTCACTGTCAACATGTCCATTTAAATCTCCTCCAATAAATACTCTTTTTTCAAGATGTATTTTTTGTATTATTTCGTCTAGGTCATTCCAAAATTTTAATTTTGAATACATATGCAAACATTCTTGAGGAACATAAACACTTATAATATTAATAATCTTAGCATCAACAATAATCTTTAAAGTTATAATCTATCTCAAATTCTATTAATTTTTATAATATTATCTTTCAAACTCTTATCTATAATCACAACTACACCATTTCTAGTACAACTCCGATCATAATACCATAGTTTAAAAAATATTAAATGGTTATTCTGCTTCGAGCCAAAATAATACTAAATGGTAATATCTATAGGAGTTCATTATTTGTTCCAAGTACATAAATATCATCCATGGAAAATATTAACCAAATTATAGAAAGACACATCTATTAGATTAAGGAAAAAAAGATCAAAGTGGCCCCTATAGAATTTGTTTGTATTTTTGTCCCAAACTATTCAAAATGTATAATTTAGTCCATTGACTCCTCAAACATAAGCAAAAATAATCTCACATTTAAAATCACAGTTTAATTTGATGGCATTGTCAACATGAAGTGGACGAATAAGGTGGGGATATAGGGTATTTTGGGATGCTTATGTATTTTCTTTTCTTTTTTTTTAATATTTCCATTCTAGAATCCTTAACTATCTGTCCAACCTACCAGGAGAAGGGAAAAAGTTGCGCTATCACCCGAGCCGCCAGGAGAACTCTAGCTGAACAGGATACCCAATCAACTTAATATCATGAGTCAAAAAGTGTAGCGAAAGAAGAGTAGTGGACCAAAAACTGGATACAAAAAGGTTTCCATTCCGGTTGAAGAAGACGTGAGACTGCTAAGTGGCTTTTTTTTTTTCAGCGCAAATGGAAAAAGCTGATGACAGCATGTAGAGGCAAATGAGAGGAGTAGCGGTGATGAAGATGTTGAAGATGATGATTATGAGTACAATGTATTAGATGATTCTGAGAATTTTCAGGATAATAATTATGAGATCTGACAGGATAACAATTTGTTTAATGATAGTGTAGATCTTTTTTTTTTTAATTCATTGATACTCAATATATGCAGAAAATTGGACCAGACCCTAAACCCTAAACAAAAGTATAAGGTAAGCAGAAGATGACAATTAGTAATAAAGAAAAGAAAAAAAGATGACAGTTAGTAAAGTTCACAAATTTTATAAAAATTTCAAGAAGAAAATGTATATTTTGAAGATATACTCATTTTTAACCTCATGCATGAACATAGACTAAAAACTTACAACCATGGGACTAATTTGTTTAAATTGATGATTTAAAGGACCAAATTGGAATTTTTGCATAGCCTGGGACTAAGCGCATCTCCAACCGAAAATCTTATTTTTCACTCCAAAATGCAGTAAAATTCAAAAATGTCGTGATTCATCTCCAATCGAACTCATTTTGCGCGCTTCAGCGAAGAAAACCATCTTTCTCCTCTTTCGCGCGTTTTTTTGGCAAATTCAATTGAGACAGAAAAATCGCATAGGTGAACAGTGTAACGCCAATATTAGCATCGCACTATTCACCCGCAAGCAAATAGCGAAAGATTTGACGTTCGACAAGAGCGACCGAACGACGTCATACGCATGTTCGACGTTCGGTTGGAAATGCCTTAAAATGACTCCCTGCAAATAATCTAAAGATCATTTTAATATTGTTCTCTTTAGATTAATATTGCATAAGAAAACCATTAAGAGATGAGAAAATACATGTTTCCATCATACAGATGCATCTTGTTTTTTAATTAGTAGTCCCAAATCATAAAGTAAAAGAGGACAAACCAAAATGATGAACATGTATCGACGAGAGACGTTGGGTCCTAAGATTGGATGTTAGACATATCTCAACCTGCATGCATAAATTGAAAATTTAAACAAAATGCAAAGTATCTTTAGAAAGGCTTCGAGTTACAAAAGCAATAGAGAACATACAAAGCGAAGTTAGGAGAAAAATACTGACTGGGATTTGTGATAATCTAGCCTTTTCCCAGTCATCCTCATCAAGAAAGCAAGCATGACCAATTCTATCAGGAGAAAAATTCAACATTGCTTGGATTTCCATCTTGTTAGATACCTAGAACCACTAAGTTGTCACACTAAATCAGTTAGTCAACCGATTGAGACTTCGAAAGAAAAAAAAAAAACAGGAAATGGTGAAATAGCTATATGAGAATCTTTCCAAAACTCGATTGCACCTCTCCGCAATGAAGAGTAACAGGAAGGCCCTGCTCTTTAGCATACTTCAAAGCTGGCAGAAAAGTATTCCTACATGGCAGTTATAAAGTGGAAAGTCATATAACAATTACAAGACGCTTTTCTAAGTTCTGCAAGTAACGAACATACAAAATTATACCATTCCCCAACAACAGGATTGCCAGAAAGATCAATCCCAACCACCCCAAACTCTCTCATTTCTAAAGCCAAACAAACCTGCAAGATCGAAAAGTAAAGAATTGAAAGGTGCTAGTTAATGCAGTTACAGACACTGAGGTTCTGTGTGGTATAGTTTTTTTGTTGCCTACTTCTGCATCCTCGAAAAATAGAAGTTATTTTTAGGTGATTGATGTAATAGCTGTGAGAAAAAATTCAATTGCATGAGAACTAAAAAGCTTCCTTCTTTGAGAGAAACTTTAGGTAGCTTCCAAAAAAAATCCTTCAATGAATTTTTGCTTGTTCATCTAAATGTCATAATTATTCGACAAGTTTTATGCTAGTTGTCGACTACCTAACGCAACCCTCCACTTTTCTTATCTAGCGCTTGGGACCTGATAACAATAGTGTTTGGTGGTCCCGGCGGGGCACAAAACACTGATGATATTCTAATAAAGGTGTGGAAATGCTTAGGAAATGAAGGAATTTCTTGGTTTACAAAACTTTTCGATATTATTTTGAAGACTAAAAAGATGTCAGATAAGTGTAGAAGAAGTGTGTTAATTTCTATTTTTAAGAATAAAGGTGATGTATAAGAGTGTGTAAATTATAGAGTAATTAAGTTAATGTGTCATACTTTAAAACTATGGGGGAGAGTTATTGAGCATATGTTACAACGTGATACTAATATTTTTCAAAATCAATTTAGATTAATGCCGGGCATGTCTACTATAGAAACTATACATTTATTGAAAGGTTTGATAGAGAAGTATAAAGAGAATAAAAAAGATCTACATATGATATTTATTAATTTAGAGAAAGCATATCATAAAGTTTCAAGAGAAGTGCTCTGGAGAGTTCTAGAAGAGAAATGAGTTAATAATGGTTATATTTAAGTCATCAAAGATATGTATGTAGTGAGTTGTTACTTGTGTTCAAACACAAGGTGGTTTGACCAAGTATTTTCCTATTTCAATTGGATTACATCAGGATCAGCTTTAGTCATGGATGTTCTTTCTAGACATTTGTAGGAGGATGTACCCTGGTGTATGCTTTTTGCTTATGATATTCTTCTTGTTGATAAGCCTAGAGAGGGAGTTGAAGGTAAACTTGAATTATGGATGTCAACCTTACAATCTAAAAATTTTCGTTTGGGTAGATCTAAAATCGAATACATTGAGTGTAATTTTAATAGTAAATAAATCTAGTGAGGGGATTGTGACTTTGGGAGATCAAGTCATTAATAAGAATACATGTTTTAGATACCTTGGGCCTATTTTTCAAAGTGATGGTGAAATAAATGGGATATTATTAGTAGAATTCAAGTTGGATGGCTGAAGAAGAGAAATGCATTGAACCTTTGTGTGATAGAAAATTACCCCTCAAACTTAAAGGAAAATTCTATAAAATGGTAGTGAGACTTGCAATGCTTTATAGCATAGAATGTTGGCAATTAAAAGAGAATTTAAGTGTTGTAAAGATGAGAATGCTCAAGTGGATGAGTGGCTTCACTCTTAGAGACATAATGTGAAATGAGTATGTACGTGAAAAGGTTGGAGTAGCTCCAGTGGCAGATAAGATTAGAGAGAGCCTCCTTAGATGAATTGGACGCATAAAATGTCGGCCTTCCGATGAATCGATTTGGAGAGTAGATGTATTGGATTTGACTTATGTTAAGAAAGATAGAGGTAGACTTAAAAAGACTTGGCTATAAAATATTAGAAAATATCTTTTTTTATTAAACTTAAATGAGAATTTGACTCTTAACAGAACACAATGGAGAAAAATGATTCATATAGCCGACCCCACATAGTGGGATTAAGGCTTGATGTTGTTTTTGTTGTTGTTGCATCTAACTAAATTAATTATGGACTAATAAAGATTGGAAAATTATATTAAAGCTAATATAGAATTCAGAATATGTATCCATTTCAGTAGTTCTATCAACTCATATTAATGTCATAATTAACTTTAACCGAACATTCACAACTGATTTTACCAAAAAAGACATCCAAATTACTCGACAGTATAGCACATCACAGCACTATAATACTATATAGCACAGCATAACCCAACAAAAGTTGACAATACCATATGGAGCCTGAGCCAAGTTGAAAAGTGTTCATGTTGTGACAATGTTGGTGAACATTATTGCTTCCAAGTTTAGAGGTGTGTGTCTGCACTATTCTGAAGGTGTTATTCATCCCTACCTTTAGCCTTCCATAGAAAATAAAGATAAATTCACAAGAGATGTAACAGTTAAAACAAAAGGTTCAAGTCGTTGAGGGGGGGGGGGGGGGGGGGGGGGGGGGCATCACTTTCTAGCCAATGCATTTCAAGCACATACATAAACAAAATTGAAATGAACTCTGCTTAACATACCGTCTCCATGGCTGCTGCTGTCGTTTCGCGGCGGTCAATACTCAGAAGTAAGCGAACATATATCTTTTTCTTTTCCATACAAGTTGTACAGCTTTTTTGCATGGGTTCACAGAAGCTTTCTGTCTTTCCATTCAAGTTAATGAAAGAAGCATCCACAGTGTCAACAGATCTAAGGCCATTGATAACTGCCTTCATATAAGAACGCTTTGTCATACCCTTTGCTTCATTGTTCTGCATTTAAGCTGAATCAATACATTGTAAAAAATCCCAAGTTTTTTTTTCTTCCAAAATAAAAAACCTCTATATAATGTACCTTCGGCGTTGTCCTTAGTTCCAAATAAACAACTTCTTCAGCCGCAAAATCTTCAACAACCTATTTAAAGAAACTGATTTCAGCCAGTTATGTAAGAAAAGGTTGTAAGGGAGACTGAACTAAACATACTTCCTTTGTGATCCTTGAAATTGTTTCATGGTCAGTTGCAAGTATGTGGAACAAATCAAAAAGCTGGAAACACTCCGTCAGGGATCGGCCACCTTCAGCAATATTAAGTAGAACACACGGATTAGTACTGTTAATAAAGGTAAAAAATCATAGCCATCTTCTCATCTCAATTTTTCCATAAAGAATAATTTCTTGTTAAAAGTGCTTGAATACACTTGCAGTTCTTTAGACAATGTCAAATTCTGGGTTAAACCATGTGCCACTTCTGCTATCTAAAGATAAGGCCAGATATTTAATTGTAGTTAATCAAAGTGAGAACATATAATAAGGATTTTTAGTTTGTTAGAGAACATACATGTTTCAGTTTATGAAATAATCATGATTTATAAAATGTCCTTGACAAAGAAATCAATGCAATTTACTTTCGAGAAAAAAACAATTTGAAGTAGTTTCTATTTAATTTTTTTTTTGGACATTTATGCCAATTAAGGCAAACTCACACACACATCACATACGCAAGACTCGAACCCAAGACCTCTTGATTGATAGCCAAAGCTTCTAACCAACAGACCAAAATAAGCTGCATGTTTCTATTTAAATTCTTTACTAAACTAATTCTGAAAACTAACATAAGATATATAAAGACAATTTTAAATTAGTAGTATGTCTTTTAAAAGAAGAAAAAAGTATTTAAATATAAATTACAAAGAGTTCAAATGATGAAAACATGCAGACATACATTTCCGGATCACATGCTCTACATCAGCAAAAATGATTACACCCTTTTCACCGAGCAGTTTAGCAAGCTCCCTGTTGATTTGCAGAATGATTAGTGAGTGAGTTTTCCTAAGAAATCTTTTTATGATAAAGAACGATAAGCAGATTGATAAGTTCTACAAACAAAAACTTTGCAGAATCCTAATTAACTCTTCAGATCAGGGCAATAACAATCAACAAGAAATTATAAAAGCAAGTGTTATATCCAACTTATAAATAAATTCACTAAAAAGGACAGCTTACAAATCAAATGGATTAAAGTAAAGTAGGCCATGCCTGGAAAGTAAGAAGCTATTAAATGTGAATTTTCTTTTACTAAGTAATCAAATGAACAAAATCTAGCCTTACTTTGTAGCCATATAAAAATAATAATGAAGCCAATTATGAAAAGATACTAAAGTGGGTTCCACCTAAAAAGGAAAAAGGGGTAAATATTCAATGCACTTGGAAAGATCAAACAAACTCATAATTTGGTGATTAGACCAGCTACAACACAATGAGCTTTCCAACAACAACCAACACCCTTTGGGCCTTTAAGAAGTGGAGAGTGGCAAATAGACAACAAAGACTAGAAAAGGCAACTAGAGATTTACTAGTTTTAATCCTTTCGGGGAGGGAAGTTTGAGTGTCTAAACACAATTTTAATAAAGGAGGGATTAGATCGCGATATCTTGGCATGTATTTACCTACTAGGCTAGTTGGCACACACTTTAGCTCACCCTAGCACTATGGTTGAGAGCTTCGGCTCCAATCATAGAGATCTGGGATTCAAAACATACAAATATGAGTGTGTAACTTTTTTAAATAAATTCATTCAAAAGTTCCAATATATAATTATCCATCTAACTTGCTGGGTCCCACAAAACAAAAAGGCTACTTTTTTTTTAAAATAGACTTAGTTCTTTTTGGTGGGGGGGGGGGGGGGGGGGGGGTGGTAATTGTTCTCCACACTCCAACATCCTCCAGGATAAGGAAACAAATCATAATTCTGATAAACCTTAAAACTTCACATATCAGATCAAATTATCAGAAAACTTCAGTTGAAACCTTGGTTGTTTCTGATTTTGATCTCAGCTGTGAGTAGAGTAGATCAAATGGCAATACTTCAACCATAATATTCAAGAAGATTATTTGTAACTCATGATCGATTTAATCCACAATTGCTCACAAAATTTTGTTGTTAACCAGTTAATTCATCATTGGCGATAGGAATATGTCTGATGAGCATAGTCAGAGCTGCGCTTAGTGTGGGGATTAGCGCTTGATAAGCATATTAATCAATCCTCTCATAACTCAAGCTTATCATGTTTATGCCAAACCCAAAAACAGTATTAAATTTCATTCAATATTCCCCCAACCAAACTATCTTGCTTTGCATCTTAAGATTAATTAAGCCTAGCAAAACAAACCCTATAAAAAGATATTCCAGTGATAAAGGATTTAGAATATATGAGTTAGATTAAAAGAAGGAAACTGAAATCCATGCTCCAAGAGAATCCAAAGCATTGATTACAGGAAAACCTATAATAGCAAGACCTTCTAAACACTAAAATCGAGCTAATAAGTTATAATATTTAACAGGTTGGAGAAACCTAACTTCAATTACGAGAAAAATACCAAACTTTCGCAAAAATCAAACAATAAAAAGAAAGAGATGGAGAAGCACAGAAGCGTGGAGTCTCGGATGCAGCCATTGAGGTGAGCGTGGAGCTCTATCTTGGGAATTGCACGGCACCACTCCTTCATTTCCGCCAAGTTGGTGCATTTCTCCATCACTGGCCGCTCTCGTATACTCGCACGCTGGCCCTCACTCGAACAAAAATCTATGTTTTCAAGGTAGGGATTGAAATGAAGGCTGCATTATTATATACTGCGGCGCCGTGAGTTTTCAAATTTGGAATGTCTGGTTTGAGATTCTTTTACTAAGGAAATCCAATCAATTTAAAAGTTAAAAAGGCATGTTTTTGCAGCGAAATACGGTGGAAAGATGCGACTTTTGGTCCATATTGATACATCCAATTAATTTTGATCCAAACTTTCATCCACCAATCCCATTGTAGTATGATTATTTGATATGCTATGCTAATATGTTAGTTAGGGTTTGGAACTTTGGATGTGACCAATTCCTTTTTGGGGGCTGCATAGACCCATTAGGTATAAAATAGCATCATTTTATTAACCTTACTTTTATCATCCTATTTCTTTTTTAAGGAAAGATCAATGACAAAGAAAAATTTTGGCCAAACATGTAAGCATGGATTCCATCATTAATGATTTCTTTAGTAAAATGACAATTTCTTTGGTGGTTGAAATATGACTTTTGTGTTCCTTGTGAGGCCTCCATTAATTTTCATGGGTTAGATTAATTGGCTTATTAGGCTTTGGAGCTAAAGTAAATTATATGTCGTACCAAATTTTTGTGTGTGCACCTGATATGAAAATATGCTTGATCACTGTGAAACTTGAAGCATTATTTTGTATTAAAATTTTTTGAAATTATTTCAAAATCATAAGAACTCTGATTTCAATGAAATTGTCGTCGAATTGAATGTCTTGACAAGATAAATCAAACGATAATGAATGTGACACTATCTAAACCTCAATTAAGTAGTTGAAGTATATTTAAAAATTTAGAGGTGTTAATTAAATGGTCAAATTATCTCCAAATATTGACTATTTGTAATCAAATCAAGTAACAATTTAATTCCAACAAGCCTAAGTTTACTTAATTCTAAGCTTATTATGGCAGTTAAATAATGAATGAATAATTTATGAACAAATGATTCAATAAAGGTCAATAGGTTGAATGTTGTGAAATATTTGATCAAAATGTCACTCCATAAATTCTTCTCGGGATGAAGAGGGGAAAAATTGAGCTTGAAAATAACATAAAGATCTAAATATATTTAAAGCTCTACATGACATTCGTCAATGATGATCATCATTAAACACCATGTCATCCAACTCACATTGCCTAAATGTTGTTGCCCAAAAATCATTGCCCAGTCACCATCATCTGATGGTCATCTCCTAATTGTTGCCACTCGAATGTTATCATTCAACCGTTGTCTCATGACTTTCATCATTTGACCAACGCCACATGACTTACATTTTATAATAATAGTTCCACTACCATATGGTTTTTCTTAGACTTTCATCACTTGGTTATTGTCATCCCATTATCATCTTCTAATTGTCATCATCTAATTACTATCGCTTGACCACAATTACTTGATCGCTATCATTCAACCACCATTATCGGACCAACATCATCCAATTGTTGTCAATATTCATATATTATGTGTATAGTTTATTTATGTCAATGGCTACATCAATAAGGGCCTTCGCGATTAATTCTAGTACATAAGTATATGTTTCAGAGTCTCTAACTCAAGATATGTCCGATAAGATGTCCTAGTGACCTATGGCTTGCTACCTATTTTGATTAAGTTGGATCTTGCACCTTTTGAAATTTTGATATGCATGTGCTACAATACTAATCATACATACACAAGTAAGAATTGTATGTATATAAGTATATCTATAATCTATATTTTGTAAAGCATAGCAATATATTGATTACACACATGAATATTAATACAATAATGATCAACATATTTTGATATCTGTGATTTGAATAATTATTTCAGGTTGATGACATAAATCCTATTGAGTTTAATATCTCAAAATAAATTTTACATATGATTTTTGAATTAATTTGTAGAACATAACATGCATTGAAGATAAGAAAATTCTTAAGATTTTTTTTTTATGTACTCTTTCATTTTTATGATATGAGACATCTCAAATTCTAAGTATTTTTGCAATATCTTTATGTTTGTAAGAACTATTTAAATTTTATATTATTATATATCTTATGTTTATTGCTTCGGTGCGTATCTTTGAAATGTTTATATAACTCAATTTTATGTGCAACTATGATCAAAAGTAAAAATAATAAGTAGCAATTATTTTGTATTTATTTAGTGGGTCGTGAAATCATAAACTAAGGGTGGAAGTTAAATCAGTAACCACTTTTGCACTTAGGCTTCAATTATGACAGCTTTTTTAATGTTTTTTTTTAAATAATTGTTTAGCACACAAATTTTTTGAATTAGAAATTTTGTACTAAAAACTGTTTTAAAAAACAATAAGAAAGTTGTCCCAAACAAAGCCCTACTCAGACTCACAAAAGGCTTTTTGCTCTAGTATATACTTTAAGCATAGCCGAGAGCTTGATTGTAGGCCATTAAGGATGGCGTAGTATTTACATTAATCATAATAGTGTTATGATGGCTACAAATGCATATAAGTAATACACACCCAAATATCCTTAGGCCGAATTCAAATTAAGCTAGCCCAATTTAGGATATCTCAGTTAGGCAAACTCGCCAAAGTTGAAGAAATCACCAACTTGCCCTCACCAAAAATATATAACTCACCAACTCTCCATTCTCCAACGGATAAGAAACTCATCAACGGATCACTTACATTTTATAATAATGCCAAACTCTTGCTTGAGCCTACAAAGTAGGTTGTGTGAGGGAAGTAATGATCATAAGATTAGTTGTACTCAAATCATATACTTGTTGATAATTCTAATTAGCATTCTCATCCTCTCTCTATATCTCTTTCTATCATATTTTTTCTCTAATTTAATAATAGTATTGTGGTGAAGTCCAAGAGTTGCCCATGGATAAATTTGGATATGATATCCTTAAAAATGTGATGAGTGTGAATTTGCAACAATCTAATAGTTATGAAAGTAATTTTGAAATGAAAAATATGAAAATTCTGAAATGGAGCATTGCATCGTTGGATTTTTCGGTGCTCCAACATCCTAATATCGAGAAAATTTGAAAATAATTCAATGCGCTAGCACCAATATTTTGAATGCGGTGGCACCATGAACTGACATGTGGCACTATGATGTTGAGCGTTGTAGCACTATGTCACAAACTGTAACATCTCAAACTCTGAACTACCGATATATTATCCGTTTTGGCATAAGAGCCTCACAGTTTTGTCCTATTGGTGTTAATTCCCTGCAGGTCATCCATCCCAGAATTGATCTAGGATGAACATGCTTAACTGCGGAGTTTCTAATGAAAATTTCAATCATTATACCAAAAGGCGCCTCGATGTTTAAGAGTTAGATTTCTTTTACTTAAGGGGTTTCATAATCTCCCCCAATTAAGTAACTGACGTACTCCTCGGCATCTGTATCCCAGAATCATCTACGAAGAAGATAGGACTCTAGAGGTGGCCCTTACAAGTTCAAGTGGTGGCTCCCATCATGTAGCATTTTATCCCATACAAGGTTTAAGAGGAGGCTCCCATGGCGTAGCACATTGTCTTGTATGACACTTAGCTCCCATCTCTCGAATGGTGTATTACTATGATATCATTTGTGATACATCATAATCTAAATTGGAAAAATTATTCTTATATTTTAATAAATAATAACCATATATATCTTTAAGTAAATTTTTTAATGATGTAAATAGAATTTATTTTTAATTAATAATGTTAAAAATTTATATATTTAATTTATTATTTTTGTATGATAAAAATTATTTATTTATTTATAATAAATAATTAAATCTTAATAATTTATAAATATAAATTTATAATACGAATTTAATTTATAATTTATAGGTATAAATTAAATATAAACATATAACATAAATCAATAATAATTGATATTAAATTTATAAATTTATGTGTAAGCTAAATTTTTATTAAATTTGAATTAAATTTAAAGATTGTATGTGTTTAAATTTAAATTACATAAGATATTATTAATGTGTGAATTTAATTTATTTTTTAATAAAAATTATATTATTAAATGATTGTTCTATCATTTATATTTTATTTAAATAAATTTCATATTTATTACGTTATCTAATTCAACCTCAATTCTACTTCGATCGAACTATTAAATCTTGTGCCTCACCTTCTTCATGTTCAATGTCCAGTCCAATTTTCACAAAGTTGAAAATTTCATTACTAGTAGGTGGCTAATATATATGGAATAAAGGTTTACATGTGTGATTCAAAGAGTTATGAAGGAGGCCCATAGGGCCCTCCTATGACATCTCAATAATTAATTTGGAAAAATGATCAATTTTAATTTATTTATAATAGTCAAAAGTTCAATTAATATATATATCAGTACATTAATCTTTATTTTAATACTTTTAACTACAAAAAATAAAACTCAAAATATAGAAATAAAATTATATATGAATATTTTGTTCAACCTTGCTTCACTAGATCTTGACCTATTTCTGAAAAAATATGTAAAATCACATAATGAGCTAACAACTAGTAGATTATCAAAACCTACATCTATAATCAGTGTAATGCAATATAAGCAATATACATGCAATCTTTTAATCCAAAATAGTATATACATGTCGAAGTAAGAACATGTAGTACTAAACATGTAGCAATCAATATGAACATTGTTATTTTGTACGAGCAATGAAAATCAATACAAGTAATATATTTTATAATCAGTGATTAGTAGTCATAGACATAATCAATATATGATATCATTCGTATACACATGTTTAATATAAAACAACAAGTATATTATTAATTCTGTTCTTGTCTGTAAATTATACTTCATGTCTATTTATATGTCATTATGTTTAAATGTTCTAGAGGCATTGCATGTCTTGCAACATCAATGCATGTATATCATGTTCTCTATTAGATACAATATTTTATGTATATCATATATTTTATATGTATATAAGCACTTATATTGATCTTATCAATCTTATCATATGCCTATTGCAGACATGCATGTATCATGTTCTTATCATATTATATTGTGTCACTTATTTAATTTATCTTATATACTTGTGTATATGCATATTTAAGCAAGGCCAAATATCTAACTACCTGTGTTGTTTTTCATGTATCAAGTTCTATAAGTTATTCATACTAAGCATGAATTAGTCTCAATTATATTAGTATGTTACTAATAATCAGTCTCATATCACATGTCACATAGGTGACTTTCATGTAAGAAGTCATCAATTTTTTGTCTATTGGTGTATCATATTATATCAGTCAATCTTCTTATACCATATTTTTCAAAACACTTAGGATTATAAGATTAATTTTATTTAAAGGAAAGCACGCCAACCCACCCTCTTATAAAGAATAATATGTCACCAGTTAATATGAATCAGTTAATCATTTTTAGACAATTTTTTTTTATTTTACACACATAACATATCATATAAATCATAATAATAAACATCACGTATACCCAATATATCTATCATTATACTCATTATTATCATGCATTATATCAAAATGCATGTTAAGCAACAAAAAATAGTAAACTTATGCAAGTCATATATTTCACGTCCAAATGTATTACATTAACTCCTAATCATTTCATATCTGACATTATTCTACTAATTTCAAAGAATATAACATATATGTAAAATCAACTAGTGAAATTTTAATATAACCAATAAAAAATTTTAGGGTGACAATATATATCACATATAAAAAATGCGATAAAAAATCACTAAAATGAGAGATATTGCATCTTAATTAATTTCAAGAGAAAAGAAAGATAAAACTTAAAAAATGATCAAAAATAGAGTTAGGGTAATGTTATCTCCACGATAAGAGCACTTTTTACAATTGGAGTGACAGAATATCAACCTAATATTTGCCTTATCTCTCCTATTTCCTCATCTCTTTCTTACTTTCATCTTCTATATGTTCTCTCTCCTTACATGTAAAAAAGAAATGGGGAGGAGATGATGGAATAAGTGATTTAATATTAATGTTTTTTTTTAATATTTTTATTAAAAAATAATTTTGTTGACCCAACGCCACGATATTCAAGACCCAAACATAGATGCAATCAATTAAATTCCAGAAACTCGAGAGCTTGGAAATGTAGCACCATGGTGCTCCCTTAGATAATCTTTAAAAAAATTAGAGAAATTAAACTGAAGGCCTTTACAACTCGTCAACTCCTAAGGGTAGAAGCTCTTGAGAGGGTTATCTAATTTAACTATTAAGAGAAACCTACTAGACCTATGGCCTATGGGTGTTATCTTCTAATCAAATGACATATGACACTTGTTATCTTGACAACAATGAGAAATCCACCAAAACTAGATTAGTTGAAGAAAGAAAAGCCACAATTGAAAAACATATTCTTTATGGAAATCACAAAGGTGGTTACCCCGAAGAAGTACAAAATTCCCACCTCAAAACCAATAACGAGAGAACTACTACCACTCATGTGGCATACTTTGAGCTGGTTGTTGAATCTCGTAAGTATGGTGTACATTAAAGTTTTAATAATAACACATATTATTGGTTATACTAATAACAACTTGAGTTGTGTGTAGGAAATTTATTTTTTTGCTAACATTGCAAGGAACATATAGGTGACAGAATCAAGATAAGGACCGAATAAAAAAAAAATGAACATAATGAAAGTTTATCAGAGTCGCCAAAAAATGCCTACATGATGTTCAAAATTTCATTTCCGTCATAATTTAGAGCCTCGATTGATAAATGTGTGTAGGCAATTCTTTCTAACGAAAACAAATCTATTGGTGATAGTTTGAATAATTTTTAAGTTCACTATGATACAAATTGTATGAGAATAATATGACTTTTTATTATTATTATTGAGATCTCTATTTTCCATAATTTAAAATTAGTACACTATACATGAAATTTTACATTCATATTATAGAAGAATGCTCATTATGTAATGAGTTTTTAACTATGTACTTAATATGTGCTATAATCAAATGGAGAATATAATAAATATATAGCTAGGGATGTAAATGAGTCGAGTCAAGTTAAATATATTTATAATCAAGTTCAGGTGGTTAATTCTTATTGAGTTTTAAGTCAACTTGAGTTCAATTACTAATCTCAAACTCAGCTCGTTAAAAAAATTTAGACTGGGCGAAAGAGGGGCATCGAGCTTATTAAAGAGCCGAGTTCAAAAAAACTATCTACAAATTAACATTTATATTATTATTATTTTTTATACTTCCATGGTTGCCTTGAAATAGTTCGGGCCAATTCGTTTGCCATACGGGTTGGGTTCAGGTTCGAGTTCTTGACCCATTTTATATACCAGGTCAAATCGAAATGACCTGACTTTCGAGTCCAGTTGCAGATGTTTTGGATGGGATGAAGTCACTGATGCCTAGCCACATAGGTTGCCCGAGGGCGAAGGACCGGAAACGTGGGAGAGAGGGGTTGTTCGATGATGTCGTGACGATGTCATTGATGTTAGTGGGAGCCGGGATTGACAATGTGAACGGTTTCCAGTAGCGAGGCAGACGCCTAGCGGGGTCATCATCAAGGTTGTAGGATGGGGTTGCCGTCTGGCGGTTTACGGTTTCAGAATTGCAACAGTGAGTCAGACAGTTTGTCGGTTGCAGGATGTGGGTAACGAAGACAACAACCTAAGCACCAGTGAGTCATTGACATCGTTCTCGCTTGTCTTATCCCACTGTTTCGGGTTGCAGGTTATTTCGGGCTGATCGGAAACCGATCAGGTTGGGGTCGGGCTCAGATTCCCGACCCGTTTCTATAGCAGGATCGGACTTTGGTCGGACCGATTAGTTGGACTTGAACAGGATTAGATGACCGGTTTTGACACCGAATACCGGTCGGACCGGAATGGTAAGCTCATGGATCATCGTAATCTCGCTTTCTATAAATAACTCGCCGTAGAGCGATTGCGCACTTTTGCTGGCGTAAGTCGCTAAGCCTCTCGCTCTCTTAGGATTCTAGGTTTTCTTTTCCGGAGCCGACCAAAGCATTGCGATGCAATCGAACCTGATAGGTGCGTGGTGTTCTGCTTCTACCAGACTACGTTGCAGATGTTTCTCTTCCGGTTTGTTTTCTTAGATCTCGGGGTTTCTTGGAATCTCGGGGTTTTTCTTCTAGAAAAAAACATATGGAAAGATATTTTGAGATATTCTCAGAGGATCGAAATGCTGTCATGTATTATTTAGGGAATAGCAATTGTTACTTGTTTCTTTGATCATAGAGGTGTTTTTGTAATCTTTTTTTGACCGTTTAAATGATTAATACACGATGACATGTGGTTTATGCTTGTTTGTTTGTTTTTTTTGATTTTTTAGGGTGGAGTAACTTTGTTTAAAGGAAAAACTGTAACTTCCATGAGGTTGCTGCTGGCGGATCTCTTTATTTTTCTCCAAATTGTGCCTACAGCTTGAGGTTGGTCTTCGAAGCAATTTACTTTTTTTTGTATTAATGTTTACATATTATGAATTTGTCATTCATGGTTAGGATTTTTTCTATTTAATAATTTATGTGGTTCCTTTCCAATAACTTATTTGTTAATTATAGAGTAATTGCTGCATCATCTGGCTGTTTTTATTCATTAAGGTTTTGTAACTTAAGCATCAGATGTTAAAGCTTAAGGGGCTGTTTGGCAACAAGTAGGATTTAACTTTAGTATGATTTAGTAAATCTAGATTTAGTACATCCTAGATATGTTAAATTCTGAAAATTGTTTGGCAATATAGTTGTTAAATCCTGTGATTATGTTTGGCAACATAATCCAGGATTTAAGTTGGTTGGTTCATTTGGAAATTAAATTTAATGTGTTTTGAATTTAATTTGCGTGTCAAGTATGAGTTTCTTATTAACTTTAATTTTAATTACCATTAATAAGTTATAATGATAAATAATATATTTAGAAGCTAGCTTAGTTATTACTAGTTATCAAATTAGTTATTTAGGTGTTAATATCAAAGTACTTATTATATTAATAATTATCTAATTATATTCCTAAAGACTAATTATTTAGTTAATTATTTTTTAAAATTATAAATTATTTAACTACTACTCATACTAATGATTTAAGTATTATTTAAATAGTTTTAGTTATTAATTATCTCATTGATCACATAAATATTCAACTACTAATTAATTATTTAACTGTTATTTAGAATATTAAATATATAATTAACTATTTATATTTTAAATTATATTAATTAAACTGATTTAATGACCAATTATACTACTAATTATTTAATTAAGCAAAATTAGTTTACTTAATTACACTACTAAAGTACTTCTAATTATTTAATTAATCTAATTAATTATTAAGATTGAAATTATATTAATAATGCTAACTTAGATTAATTTCTAATTTCAGATATTGTTTAAGGTAGGGGTGTCAATATTTGACACAACTCGAAAATTCATTTTGACACCTTTAGTTTTTGGTTTGCTTTTTATCTTTTTCCTGCGCTTCACTGTTGTCACTATTCCTTGTCGCCGTTTCGTCGTGGCTGCTTTGGCTTCGCGTGATATTTTTTGATAGTGTTGCTAAAGAAGCTTATTCGCCTCCTTGGAAGGCGTTAGATCAAAAGTCATGACGGGAGATCACTTGCTGCGTAGGTTACCATCTTCGACTCCTTCAAGACGGGAGCTCGCTCGCACATTGTGGAAGAACTTCGCAAATCCATAAGTCTCATTAAATCTGCCGAATGATGGGATTTAGTAAATTTCGGATTTACGATTCGGATTTATTGTGTGCTCTCAAACCGTTTAATAGGATTTAGGACAAATCTGGTGTAAATCCTGCTTAAATCTAGCTACCAACCAACCCCTAAATGTAAGATTTTTGATTAAAAGCTTCAGTTTTCTTATATCTCAGGAGTAAGATCAATGTGTATTAGTATGCTTGTAATTTTATTTTTTTTTAAATAATCCCGATGTCATGAAATTGTTTTGATTACATCTAAATCAGAGCTATTATATGTTATGATCTATATCTAAAAAAAAAATAATAAAAAAAAAACAAAAAAAAATCTATATCTAAACAAACTTAGTATGTTTGATTGACGTTTTACTAGTTGGTTTGTGTTAACCAAGTAGAATTGGGGCTTTAACCACACATTAAGATGCTTGTAAATATCTTTCAATGGCCTATTTGTTATTCCCTGGCCTCCATATTTTTTTATTCTTTTCCTAGAGTAAATAGTTTTCATTGTATCTGATTGTTTGATGTCATAGTTCTTATATAGTCTTGATTTCAGAGATTTTTTTAGTAGTTTGTTATTGTCTCGTGTAACATTGTGTTAAACTATGATTGAACATGTGAATCTTACTTTCCAAACATAAGACCCATGTTGTTATCTGCAAGAGGTAGGAAATTACCCTCCCACTCTATAAGTGAAAGTTGGGGAAGTTGGGGAAGAAAATTTTAATAAAGATATTTTGTTTTCTTATGAAAGACTAGGGGTGCAAACGAGTCGAGTCAAGCTCGAGCCAAGGGGTGTTCGAGTTGAGCTCGACTTGTCTCATGAAACGAGTCGAGTCAAGCGACTCGTCTAGCTCCTTCCCGACCTGCGTCTTCCGCAGACAGGTATGTCGTCTTGTCCGTTGATCGTCGTCCTGTCAAGCTCCGTCGAAGCCGCAAGCTCTGAACACTTCGTCGTCCTGTCAATCTCCGTTGAAGCCACAAGCTACGTCGTCCCGACCTACATCGTCCGTGGACAACTATGTCGTCCCATCAAGCTCCGAACACTCCGCTCCTGCCTACGAAATGATTTCCAAAATCCGAATCTCGTTCCCGCATGTGTCTTCTCTTACATGAGCTACTCGACGAGCTTTAGAGTCGAGTTGTGGAGTGTTCGAACTCGGGCTCGTTAAGCCGTTGAGCTCAATATTGTGTTTGAGCTCCACTCGCGAGCTCGATAAGCTCAACTCGCCAAGCTCGACTCGTCGAGCTCGAGCTAACTCGCGAGCCATCTTGATTCGATTGCACCTTTATGAGAGACATTCTACTTAATATTTTTTTGATTTGTTTGTAGCCTAGGAAGTTGAAGTGTATGGTAGTCATCATAAGCTTCCATATGTATTCTACATGTACATAGAATAGTCATTAACCTATATGTTACTCACAAAAGAGCTTTAAAGTAATCAAGAAATATATTATTTTAAATTTTTAATGAAGATAATGCAAGATTTGAGTTATATGAAATTTGATTATTTGTTGCATTGTAGTTTCCCTAGCATGGGATAATGTTCATAGTGATGAATTTGAAGTTAATCATCTAAAATTGAAAATGGAGAAGTGTTCGTTGGAGGGAGTGATGGTGGAAAATTGATTTTGGCTATTCTTGCATTGATGGAGATGAAAATGCTGCAAGTAAGCCACAATAGTGAGGTTTAAATGTTAGCTATTAAATATGATAATCTTGAGTGAATATATTTGAATGTACCAAGATCAAAAAAGCCAAAATGGGAAACTGAGTCTATTTGCCTTAGCAAGGTGAGGCGTAAGCCTCGAAATAGATCGGTATGTAAGCTTTCAAACTGAAAAAATAAAAGAACTCACAAATTTAAAAAAAAATCATAAATATCAATTTTTAATGTTAATATGAAATGAAACTTTGAATTGAGATTCAAGAATTAGATGAAAAAATCCATAACCAATAAATAAATAAATAAAATAATAAACATGAATTAAAAAATTAGTAAAAAAATAAATATTTTAGAAAAATCATGTCAGTTCAGTTTCAAATTTCCTCTTATTGCTTGACAAAATGTTCCTCTCATTTGTTTTCTCGTCTCTTTCACTTGAAGAGGTCTTGTGATACTTGTTTGCTCTTGTTTTTTGCACTCACAGAATTCTTGCTCTTGTATTGGAGATTCAACGTGATCTTTCTCCCTTCGGTTTGTTGCGTTGGCACGAAGAAGACGACTTGCTGGGCATAAGGGAGCTTGACTGCAAGACCCACCCGTCGAGCAGGGACGAAAGTCGGCAGAGCAATACAAGTGTCATGCTGCTAGGCGAAGCGGTGGAGTGCTACACCCTAGATGGCGAGAGTCCAGTAGCCGAAAGCATCACTAGCTTACGCTCTTACCCGAGTAGCATGGGGCACGTGGAATCCCATGTGAATCAGCAAGGACCACCTTGCAAGGCTAAATACTCCTGGGTGATTTGCATGAAGAAGACTTGCTGTAACTCTCAGCCTTAGAACTAATGTTGAGCGGCAATGATTGTATTAAGTAGATGAGATGTAAGTGTAATATAATATAATATATATTAATAATATAATATAATAAAATATAATATGAACATTTTAAATAACCTTATTTATGGTTTGCCTCATATGCCTTGAGGCATATCCCTCATTGTTGAGTGGTGGCAATGAGGCTTAAGCCTTGAAATGTTTTTTGTGCGCCTCAGTTTGGGGCATGTCTCAAGGTTTGTGCTTTGAATACTTTTTAAATAATGGAATTTATGGTGTATTATAGATTTTAATTAAATTTATTATTAATGTCACCTGTGATATGACACTTACTCATTACGTAAATTAGTTGAATGATGAGTAATAGTAATATTTTGGATTCAAATAAAATAGATTCTATTAAATGAAGTAGTTGAATGTCAATTAAATGAAAACTAATTTCTCATACCATGTGCTAGTTATATAATGTAGAAGTTTCTTATATAAGTGAGTCATAAGCAAAAGTTTAGAGTTTAGACTAATAGGTCAATCTAATATTTGTTGGTTATGTCAAAACTCATATGCGACTTTGTCTTGGTTTTGAGGTAGTTTGACAACCTAGGTAGGCATAGGCACCATTCTTGTCAAGGGTGAAGAGCACATCATAGCGCAATGGTCTCATTGGAGTTGTAATGCGTAGCATGATATGAGCTATTTTAAACCTAGTGTGAAATATTAAAAATTATAGAAAAAAAAAACATAGCTAAATATGAAAGACTACCTAATTGAAAGATAAACGATCGTGATAATAAAAACAATCAAATTGATGTTTATGTTGAACTCCTCAATGTCTCATTCACTTAAAATTTAAATTATTATATATTTTTTATAAGAATAATGTTTTTTTAAAATAAATTATACTAATAATTTTGAAAGGCATCATTATCATAAGTCATAAAAGTCTCATTTTCTTGATCATCATCATCATTATATTCTAAATCTTAATCTTTTTTGTTACCATCATCATCTTCATGTTCAATTGCAAGTGTTAAGCCTAGATGGAGATCCTTATCTTTATCTTTAGATTTCTCTCGAATATTGTAGTTTCTTTCATAAACACTATTAATTTTTGCAACGATACTTTATTTCAAATATTCTTTTCCAATAAATAATTCATTAACTTCATTAGACTCATCGCCCATTTTTTCTGTTAACCACTCATTAGCATCATCTATATCATTTAAAGAG